TGTGTGTGGGGGGGGGGCTCTGCCTGCTATAGTGCTAGTGCCTTCAGGTAGTGGTCTTCCCTTCCACCACATCCAGAATGCAGCAGAAAACTATCGCACCATCTTCCTAAGAATGACTTTCAATATCATGACACTCTGTGTCGGATTTCTTTCAGATTTTCCTGCATGGTTTTACTTTAATACGTGGCCCACAAAGAGTAAATGGATGGACGTCTGCATGGACAGCAATTTTGGGTACAGCTACCATAGAAGTCCCTCTGGAAGGCTGGCGTCCTTAGACTCGGTGCCTGTAATTCTTGGGAAATATGGCGGGTTTTCCTTCTTAAGATCCGGCCGCTCTGGCCGCTGAGGGCTTTCATCTTGGACATCCTATTTGGATGATTCACGAGCGTCAGTCCAAACAGCACCGTGCCCCAGTCGAGGTTCACTCGGACGACCTGGAATGGCTCATGGCTCCTGTTTGTTTGTGTTGTCTTGTGCTTTTTCAAACATGTTCGTCTATGATCAACAGATCCGACCACAGGCACGGCTCAGCCGCGGAGAACCTCGTTTGTCATGCGATCTTTCATTTGGGATGAGCGTGAATGACCTGTGGAGCCGGGGTGGACTCAGATTGCACGCTGCCACGCTGTGTCTGCTCGTGCTATTAAAGCCTGCAGAAAAAAGTCCATTTTATATTTACATCTACCTTACATTTACATTATATTTACATTCGCTCCTTACTCATGCACCATGCACTTTATTGGAGCTGTGTTGCATATATCTGGTTTCCCTTTTTTTCTCTTTATTCCAATAAAACTTTACTGCTCCTTATTCATTACATACTTATTATAGTGTTGCTTTATGTCTTATTACATTTCATTAATTCTTACTATTGATCACCTTGCATTTCACTGCAGGTTCCAGTTGGTCTGTATACCTTGCGTGTCACAATTAAGACCTTCGGATCTTTGTGTTTAATTTGCAGATGCCTCTGTCCAGTGTGGAGTACAAAAGAGGCAGATCATACATCTCAACGATATTTGGCAACAGAAACAAGAAAGATGGCTTTAAGGTACTGACCCCCAACTACTTTTGCAAAGTAAAATGCAGATTGGACAATACAAATACAAATAATGTATATATAATTAAAAATATAAACAGCATCAGTGCAAAAATAAAATCAGCAGGGACAGCAAAATTTAATATAGGATTGTAAATATAGCAATAAGGTAAATATTTGTGTCGATATTGATGAAGACAATGGAAGGAATTCAAAAACCACAGTGTCTAGTTATGTGGTTGGAGGATTTGCAAAAATATGTTAAAAAACATGCTATGCTTTCAACAGAGATAGAGAATGAAGGTCACGTGAGCATCTGGGTGGACTGTCGCTCAGTCCGTGTCCTGGTGCTGACTTCAAAACAAAGATCTCATGCTGAGATTAGAGTTACACTAGTGCAGCATTTGTGGCACAATCCTGATGTTGCCTTGCAGCTCACCGTCCATAAAAAAAGAGACGAAGTTCATGCACTGAATCCATAGAGCTCTCCTGCTGAGTCTCCCTGAAATGTAATTAGGGTTATAAGAAATCCTGAATTTAAAACACGATAATGTTACACCACTGATACCCGTATTTTCTGTCTCAGGGTTTAAAATCCTGAACAGTAATATAGTATATTTCCATTGATTTTGGGAGAATAGATTTCAAGTGATGGCTTAAAATTAGTATGCATTTTTTACTGTATATAACTATAGATTTCTGTTGACTTAAACATGATGTTTTTCAAGTGAGTAACATATCGACACCCTTGGCTTTTATTTCATTTTAATGGTGTTGGCTGCTGTAGTTGCACAGCTGGATAGTCTGGGGCTGGAATCACCAGGGACAGGATCGTGCCATAACGTTAGTGCCAGTGAATTAACCTGCAATGCAAATGAGATATGACCTACCAAGCAGGTACACTTCAGAATATTCATACCTCTTTGTTATGGGGTTAGCAGAAAATTATTGTAAACCATGATCATTTCATCATGAATTACATGGAAAATCGTATCCTTTGTGACTGAAATTCGAAACAGTGTTTAATGAGTTTAGATTTTTGAAACTGTTTCAGAGCATTCTAAAAATGTGCTTAAATTCTTAATCCCTTGAACAAACAATCACATTATTGCCCCCAGGACAGTGCATCATACTCTAGGTATGGATACTGCGTGGGGAGATTTCAGGCTCCTCCTCTCACTGTCATTGCCTGAATATTATGGAAATCTTTTTTTTCCTAACCCAAGATCCAAGACAATAAAGGGATCAAAACCCAGGATTTCATTCCACATAAACTGCTCGTTTTTTCAAAATGAACTGTGGATCTCCAAATTAAATATTCATTCTCCATTCCCACACTTAATATTTGACTAAAAATATAGTTTCAGATGCTTTGTATAATTTTTTGGCAGCCATTTTGTAATTGTGGGATGTCTGGAAAAAAATCAAAGCTAGAATACTCCTGGAAAATAAATAGCATTCATATGAAATTCCAATGTAAATTTAGTGTAATATTTCTATTGTAGTGGGTTAAAACAATATGGCATTTGAAAATCACTTTAAAGATGTTTTTAAAATCCGGTCATATGCCTTTTCTCATAAAACATTAGCTTATTTCTATAGTCTTTTATATAAAAAATATTTGCAGTGCCTGTATAAAAATATTTGCCCACTACAAGGCCATTCCTGGTTTGAAATGTAGTGGACACTTCCATCACCACAGATTTTTAGATTGTATATTATTGTTGTATATTATTGATAAGCAATTGGAAGAGACAGAAGTGAGAACGGATGCATTCCTGCTTCATGATCAAAGTGTAGCATTATAGGTATTTTTTTAAATCAGGTTCTTTAAATTTGCAAGACTGGGGTTTGATTTTCAAGCCTTCAGACAAAAACAGTTAGATGCTACAAACATGAGGACTGTCATGGGAAACGCTTATATAAGTGGAAACCGCTTATAGTGATCAAAAAGCTTGAGGCAAAATCATTCCTGTACAAATACCGTTTAAATAATTAATTTATAGTAATCAAGTAGTCCGCTTACAGTGTTCATTTGGGGTCTTTTTATACATAACATATGAAAAAAAAATCAAATGACGATACTTTTTTACTTGCCTACTTTGCCATGCGGTAACCTATCTGCTTCTGGCTAGCTACCTGAGGCTAATGGTGCGCACACAGAAATAATGACTGGAAAAGAAAGACATTTTCTCTCAATGACAAATATAAACTCGGCAAAGCTTATGATAAACCAACAAAAACAAGCCAAGGAGATGCAGCAGCAAAACCACAGTAAGCTATATTTTATATGCAATACTGTATTATAGAGAATTTGAGTTATACAGTTCAGTGATTTAATATGTACAGTACTATAATCTGAAAATTGTTGTAAAGAGCTGAACTGTATTTTGAAAGTCAATAAAATTCTGTAAATAGTGATGGTGTCTGTTCTATTACGATGTATTCATTTAATAAATATACATATGTCAGTTAGATGGTAATCTGCCTGAGACATATAATGAAAAAGCAAAAAACATTGGTTATAATGATCATCCACTTATTGTGATCAACTTCACCCAGAAGACATGATCACTATAAGTGGATCCCGGGGTATTGGAGGTAATTATGGGGTATTGGAGGTAAAGTGGAACTTTTCTTTTCAGCCTGCAACATGGGCGTCGTTTGGTCCGTTGTTGGGTCCGTCAGGTCTGACATTGGGTCCGTCGTTGGGTCAATGATTAGGTCTGTCGTTGGGTCCAATCACAGGTAAACTTGGCTTAGCCCGTGATCTTTTCAATAATTAGAAATTCCCCTGGCCTGCAATATCTGTAGCATGGTCTTTGCTTTCATTCATGGTGAATTTATGGACTCAGAATGTATGTCCTTCATAACAATCTATAGATTACTGGAAAACACAATATTTTCAACTTGCTGATACTTAGTCTGGAATTAATCCATTGCTTTTGTGCTTTTATAATTAGAAATTAAATAGATGTTAAATGTATGCAATAATTACAACAACACAATTTTTTTTCTTTTGGAAAAGTGAATATGGCGAAGTTTGGGATATAAAGCAGAATCACTAGAAAGAGTATAAAATTAAGGTAGAATACAACATCAAATATCCTTCTTGAGGCAATGCAAGAAACACTGGAAATCTTGCATCTGGGGTAATAGACTTGTTTGTGTATTGCTCATGCTTTTTACAAGGTGGCCTGATGACTCAGTGGTAGCTACTGTGGAGCTGACAGATTTGTGGGTTTGATTCCTGTGCCTGTGGGCTTTCCTTGCTCTTGCCCTTGTTCATGCTTCCCCTTTGGCTGCCCCAGTTTTGCCTGGTAGTCTCCATACACATGGCTAGGTGTATTGGAGTGTGTGTGTGTATGTTCGTTGCCCTGCGGAGGCACTACCCTGTCCTCAGCTTCCAGGGACAGCCTAAAAGCCCCCTGTCATCCTGTCCTGCGTAGGCAGTCAGGCTGCCAATTTCACCTTAGATAGCAGACACATATCAATGCGCACTTCCAGACACACTCTTCCCTAGTCAGTGCATTTGGTTGAACATTTTGTCATACCTTTATGACAAAAAATACATTTCAGTTCACCAGCTAATCAACTTTGCCTTTTCTCAACAGTTTTGTTAAGTTTGAGTGCACTTTTCTCCAGGCCTATTGGAACTTTCTGTCCATGTTATACTGAGCACGAGACATAAAGCAGGGCTCAAAAGACTGAAAATTTTCTCAGTTTTGAGATTTCTGGAAAAAAAACAATTTTCTTTGATAACAGAGGTAAGATACACAGCATCTGGCTATATTTGTATGTATATTCCAGTTATTCCAAGTTGGTTTGATAACTTTATAGATGAATGGTTGGAATTTTTAGATGAATTTTTATGGGGAACTGTAACATATCAAACTAAAAGCCTGCGCTAATAGGAAAAACAACATGCCAGTCATATTCATTTAGCATTATTTTTAATTTTGGCATTTCCTTGTTTTGCATTTATATTAAGCAAAGTGCATTTTATTTTTTTTTTAAATCAACACATTGCACAATACATAAATAATGATGCATATAAAACGTCTTCATATTTACAAGTAATAATATATTTATATATAACATAAAATACATTTCTGTTTTTGTTTCACTTAATTAAATTTTTTGTCATTTGTCGAACAAGAGTTCATACTGCCCCCCCCCTCCCTACTTCTTCTTCTGAAGCCCCCCCCTCAAAAAAACAAAAAAATTGGTAGAGGAGCTGGGAGAGAGGTTGCCGCCGCTATCGGGTGTTGAATATGACCTCCAGCCAGCAGGGGCAGCTGCTAATAAACTGCCGTGTGTAACACTGGCCCCAGCCCTTGACGAAGCTGATCTGTACAGTGAAGCCTGTACGAGGCTGCTGCGTGAACTCGTGGTCGTTGGGCCGCCGCAGGCTGCCCGCCTTCTCGTAGTCGAAGGCCTTGATAGAGAAGCCGGGGAACACCTTGTGCACCAGCAGCGTCCGCGAGTCGGGATTGTCCAGTGTGGCCGACTTGATGAAGATGGGGTAGCAGCTGCGGTTGTAGACCCACACGCCGTCCTGCTCGCGCGTCAGCTGGATGCCGTAGCCGATCTTGCTGCGCACCATCTGCACCAGCTGGCTCTTGTTCTCCGAGCACAGCTGCCCGAGGCAGAAGCCGTTCCCCTGAGGTAGGTCGTAGAAGATGTCCAGGGAGGGCTCCTGGACCGAGTAAAGGCGCCCAACGCGGGTCTTCTCCTCCCAGTATGCTACCACACACCAGTGCGCGCGCTCTCCCGACTGCTGGCGAGCCTGGGAATCTGGGCAGAGGAAAGTGGGGAGGCATCGTTAGCGTGGTAGCACACTGACAGAGCACACTGACAGAGCACACTGACAGAGCACACTGACAGAGCACACTGACAGAGCACACTGACAGAGCACACTGACAGAGCACACTGACAGTACCCAGAGCACACACCACCAGTAAATACCAGAAAAATGTGATTATTGGTGCTGGGATTCCACTGACGTTAGATATCTGATTTTGGGACTCTTCTGTTCTGGGTGCAGCTAGAACAGCAAAATTCTACAACTGAACAAACAAAAAAAAAAAAACACCCTTCCTTTCAAAACCTTTACATCATCACTATTCAAAATTATTCTACATAACCATGGACTGACTGGTGTTATACCACTACTCTTCCGATTTAAACGTAAATTCCACACATATGAAGCGTGCTGAAAAGCCCTTTCACCTATACACAAACATCGCCTTCGCATCCTTAAATTTTGCCATCTTGGAAACAGTGGAGGAATTCTTGGAATTCTTACAAGAAAAGCAGCCCAAGACACTGGAAGGCAAACGGGGATCGCGGCCGTGTTTACATAAGCGTTAATGCTTATCTTCTGTCTGGCTTCTTTATTTTCGCTGCAGGCTAGTTAACAATGTTCTGACGTCAAGCGTGCCATAAATCTGTCCCAATCATTGTTTTATGGCAGGTTGCCTCATTCTACATCAGGAAATTATAAGTAATAGGTTTAATATTTCAGTAAGGGGCTAAAAGGAAAGTGGAATACTCAGAAAGCAAATAAAACGCAATTCTTCCCTTGGAAGGGCGAGGGGGGGTGGGGGGTGAATGTTTTCGCTTAAAGAACATCAGACAAGGGGGTGATCGCTACTAAATTAATCAACGTGTCCTTTTGAGATGCGCCTTGTCTGGTGTTTTTCTAAAAGTGTGAATCCTGTTAACACACAATTTGGAAAAGGAAGGCATTTGTGGGAGTTAGGGGTGTTGGTGTGGAACCACACACCATTAACAGAGAGAGAAATGGCACAGAGACAGATTGGCAAACGGGCCTCCTCCTTATGCATTTGTTAAAAGGCGCAGGGGCAGATCAGGTCTATACCCTGCAGCACCCCCCCCAAAAAAAGCATGGCGGCCACACTGCTAGCAGCTGAGTTTCTTCCCCCCTCATGTGCCTCATGTTGCCCTCCTTCCATATCTCTATCTCACAGAAATTTGGCCAGGAGCTTGACGACAAAGGAGAGAGGAGTGTGCAGCTATGAGACTGACATAGGAAGTGTACCTATTTAATTGGCCTGCAGTTCCTCCTCTTCCTCTCCACCTAAGACTGTCAGCCATGCCTCAATACGTCCGGTTTAGTATGGCTAACCTCACACAACCTGAAAGGTCCATGTTGGGAATTTCAGGTCTAGAAGCTACAAATCCAGACCAAGATTTTGTTTCTACCAACCAGTTGAGCATAAAGAGTCACATTCACAGAGTATTTAACTGGTCGGTAGGAATAAAATCTTGGTCAGGATTTGTACTTTCTGCACTTAAAATGCCCAACACAGACCTAGGACGTATCCGTGCCATATTTAACTCCGTTCTGTAAGTTCTTCAGCTCTTTTCCTCGAGCTTCTCTCAATATTTACATAATTAAATCTATCAGCTAACAAGTAAATGCAACACTGTATATCAAAGACACCAATCCTGTTGTTGAGTGCATGAATGAAGCAGGGATTTGCGAGGGACCCACTTTTCCATAAAAGTAAAAAAAAAAAAAAACACAAAAACATGAAAAACAGGGAAACATGCACTAAACACAACAGGTGGTGCTTTGAAGTTGACGATCTGAGGAATTCTTTCACATCCAGGTCCATCATACGCACTAAAACCTTAAATAAAAAAGGATAAACAACATCCTCCGTCAGCTAAATCACAATATTGTTCCCTGTTCTGGATCAGTAGTCTACACTTGCTCGAGGCTTTATTTTCACATTGTTCCAGAGGCATTTGCAGCTCCACAAACACTCCTTGCACTGAGAGTCTTGTAAGAGAGGGAGCCTCGCTGTCTCAGATAATCACATGGCTTCCTGTCAGGGCTTGTCGTGGGTGTGAGGGATCCTCCAACAACCTGGACTCATTTTTTTCTTCTTTTTCTTTAACAAACACAGACCAAGCACACCAGCCATTCCCGGAGGTTTCCATGAGTTGCAGAAAAAGACTCAGAAGTCGAGAAGACCCCTTAGGCAGCACGAGCTGGCCAGGTAAAGAAGAGCCCCCCCCACCCCCAACACACACACACACACACGGCCTGTCATCCCGGCTCTCATTGCCGGGTCACGCTCTCACGTTTTGCGGTTCTGTGATTGGCCGGCTGACAGACTATTTTAGCTCGATCCAATGCCTATCATTCTGATGCAGCAGGGCAGGAATGCACGCCAGATTAACAGTATTAAATAAGATTATCAATGTGTGTGTGTGTGTGTGTGTGTGTGGGGTCAGAAGCAGACAATTGGTGTCATGCTAGGCAATCTGAGTGCACCGTCGTCTACTGGGAAGTGAGAACCTCGACTTCAGGGGGGCTAATTTTGGATCCGCCAAGCCCAGGTTTCTCCACACAATTTCCCCTCTCACATGAAGCAGACATGCCAAAGACACGCACCATGGGGAAATCTGCTGAAGCGTTTCATGCAGTCAGATAGTAAAACAAGCATGCCGCGAGCTATCTGCAGAGATCGGAGGGTGGGGGGGGGGGGGCGGGTCTTTCTAAAATTTGGCGGGGGGGGGAGGTTAACAGCAAAGCTGTATCAGGGATCTTCTTAGTTCCCATCATCCTTTCAGTTTTGCCAAAAATGACGGGGCTTGACAAAATCCTCAAACGTGCACTTCTGCTACCAAGGCTCTCATTCCGACTTCCCACAAGCCTCGGGGCCTTGGGTGGGACTCTCCAGTGCATGACGGGATCAGCACGGCGTTTCCACTAATTTAGTGTCACGTCTTGCTCTAAATTGGTACCTTCCTCTGCTCTTGGGTGTCGTTTGTTTTGCTGCCGATGTGTGCGTGCGTGTCTCTGTTCAGATTAGAATGGAAGACCCACTGATGCAAACTTTCCAGCAAAAAGCATTTGAATGAAAATATAAATTGGGGGACAGCCTGCCCCCATATTCTCTATCCTCTGTTTTTTGGCTGTTTAAAATTCTCTCTTTTTTTTTTTTTAAATCATCCAATTTATTTTTGAACTCAGATTGAAGTTTCAACCTGCAATTTGTCAATAATTTGACCAATGTGACCTGCTGTGTGTAACAACTGAAGATTAATCAAGTGCTCTGTTGCTGCGGGCATATTGCTAGTCAACAAATTAGCTTGTGACAGAGGCACACGGAGCGATGTTCTGAGAAAAAGCAACACTCCCCCATGGGACTGGAGACAGCTTGCTGTCTGGAAGAGTTAATGATTACTGCTGTCTGGGCCTACACTGTGATCTGCTTCAGGACACGCCAACACAGAGTCACGCAGCCGGGCAAAATGTTTTTATGGCTAAAATGCTACTGATCCTTCAGAAGAGCAGTACTAGCCAAAGATGCCACAAATTACTGACGAGTTGAAATATACTTTTCTTTTGAAGTGATACACAAAATTTCAATCTTAATATAAGTGTCTATTCTCAAAACAAACAGTATATTTGTGAGTGCAGCCTAATCCAAATTAGCATACGATAAACAGTCTAGCTAGCCGGCCACTAGCTGGGTTAGCGCACGGAAAAAGACATCACTGTCCCCCATAGGATGTCGTTTTTTTGAAGCCAGTTAATAAAGGAAGTTCTAATTAGGGAAGGGGGGGGTTGCAAACAAAGAAGATGCAAGTCCCTTTTCCTTTGTTCCAGAAACAGAAAACCACACCCTTGCTGTAGGAATGTTTCCAAGCGGGAAATAGCTGGAATTCTTTGGTTGTTTGTTAATACAACTACAATATGAAATACTATACGTGTGTTATGGAAACACCACATATAAAAGACATTTAAAGACATATAATATGCGGGGGGGAAATTAAATTACATTTAGGTAATGCTGCTCCCTAAATACTGAATTAGCTATAAGGCAGAGTGAGCAGTCACTCACCTGCAGTGTGAAACATAACCTCCACCAATCACACGCACCAACAGATCTCTCTGTCCACACAATCCTACAACCAATCAGTGTGCTTCTTAAAACCTTCCCCCAGTACAGTCCCACCCTACATCAAGGTCTCTCTCATCATTAAGGCTCCTTCTGGTCCATTCCACTTCCATGGCAACGGGACTAGGAACCCTTCCAGGGGCCTCTCGCTACTCCCGCTGTTATCATTCCGACGCCATGTCATTACGACTGAGCCTGAGAGGGCAGGTAATGCCTCCCAAAGCAGAGAAAAGCAGCGCAGAAGAGTAACATAACTGATTGGCTGCCGGCGACCCATCCGTCTGTGCTGGGTGCTGGGTGCCGGGGCCCACAGCGCAGAGGAACAAACAGACGCCTGCATTGTTCCCCATCCAGAATGTCAGCGATCTCCGTGGGAACCTCAGTGCAGTGCCTCTACGACAACCAGTTCAGCGAGTCAAGCACCAATCCTCCATTGTTTTTAAATAATCATTTTAATTATATTAAAAATGCCCCCCCCCCCACACCGCTACTTTTTAAAAGGCTGCAACACAGACTGGAAACTTCAGTCTGATGGGACCATGACATGTTACTGAAAGAAAAAGTCACCGCAAGATGTCATTAAGATAACGGAGCATTGAAACTGGAGGCCCGTTCCGCTGCTGGATTAAGCTCTCATGGCTCGAAAGGAAATGGCAAGTCACATAAAAGCCGTCGCGCCAAAAAACGCGAACATGTGCACACGTCTGTATTCATATCTTTGTGGGGACTCTCCATATATTTCTATGGGCAAAACCCTACTCCCAGCAATGACAACCTTAACCCCTACCGAACTTAACCATAAGAAACCAAATATACAAGACTTTTGGCACTTTTAGTTTTTTGATTGCAGTCAATAATTGAGTTTCCTCTCATGGGGACTTAAAAAAAAGGTCCCCATAACGTCAAAACAGCAGGTTTTTAAATCGCCTTATAGGGACATTTGGTCCTCACAATGTAAAATATACCTAACACACACACACACACACACACACAGAGACACACACATACATAGACACAGACACAAGCAAGGTCCCCAGTTCTTTTGTTTGATCATTTTTTTCTGCAAGCGATTCTGTGCAAGAACCCAGCGTCTGGTTCTGAGCCCACCACCTCCAAGAGGCTCCTGTCTTAGCCTGCGGTTTGCAGCCAGGGGCCTGGTCCTCGTAAAACTTTCGGTCTGTAAACTCGGACCTGAATGTCAACACTCAGGTATCTTTACTTCCTGGGGCAACCTCAGCACCATCCTTCACTTTAATGTTGCCCCATCCGGAAAACTTCCCAGCATTTAGCTGCAAAAAACATCTCAGGCCCCTTCTGTAGCGAAACTCTGTGTTTCTGTCATCTTCCATTTCCCTTCTTATGCTGCTCTGGAGCAGCGTAATGATACTGGGTGGAGAAGCAGGAGACAGCCAAAACCAAAATTAACTCCGAGCAAAGAGCCTCCTTGGCTGCAGGTTTTGGAAAGGAAGTGGAAAGTAATGAAAGATCCTCAACTCAGTCAATTGAGCAACAGGGCTGCTATAAAATTAAAGAGAGCTGCTGCTATCCCCGCCTTGCCCCGTTTGAGGAGGGAAGAAAATGAAGACAAAGTAGTCCAGCTTGGAAAATGGAGGTATACTGCCCACTGATCAAGATTTTGAAAGTATCTTCCTGGTCTTTCATTGGATTTCCATTCTGAGGCACGGGCCTATTTCCCCCTAAGACATGATGTCATTTCCTGTGTCGCCCGTCAGCTTTTCCTGTTAACCGAAACGAGCAGGCGGCACATACGATCCTAGTTTGTTTGGTTTAAGGCTTCGGTATGGAGGGAACATGAGCCGACTGAGACGCCAAGAGCTGACTGCTGGTGGGCCCCACGGCCCCTGGAGATCGCAACTTGGGGCCTATCCTCTTACTGGGGCGGGGGTGGGGCTAGGGAACACTCCTGTCACGGGGGCAACTTCACAGGAACACCGAAGGTCACTTAATATGGCCGGCGGAGGAGACAGAGAATCCCTCGAAAGGTAACAAGCCAATTCCTATAGTTGACGCAGGCCGAAGGAAGAGCAGGAGGACGAGCCGGCGTAACGGTTTAATAATAAACCAGAGACTAAATTTAACTGGCGAAGGAAGCGACTGTGACAGTAGACTGGTGGCTGGGGCCTTGCATGGGTCACTCAGTCCCATTTGAGGACGGGTACAAGCTGTTGGAGCTATTCCACCATGTCCGCTTACACAGATACCCATGGGTCACTTTGAATAAGCACCAGCATGAATTCCATCATCCTTGACCCCCCCCACTCAACAGTTACATGCTCAAGACACTTATGACTCACCAACCCCCCAGATGAACCCTCCAACCCCAGACTACCGGTGTATATATGGGACAGGGGATCTACCAAATGTTTTCGTTCAAGATGGGGAGGGGGGTCTCCAGAAAGTAGGCAGGTCTCCTTTCCTCTCCCCCCCCAGGTCCATATCTACACCAATACCCAAAGGGAGGGGCAGACTGCGAAAGAAAATTTGCCGGGTCTAAAATGCCGTCCTCCTTCAGGAACACAGGCCAGCAGGCCTGAATTGCAAAGATGTCGCAGAGGCCTGTATCCCTGTGGCCCCCGGCACTTGGGAATTTTTGCCAGAGGGCCTCCAAACTCAGACTTACAAAGAAGAAAGAGAGGTACGTGCATGCGAGCGTCATGGTTTGGTTGACTGGAGCCGTGGTATGCCATACGGCCGGGGTGGGGGGAGAGGCATTCCCGGCACTTAACCAAACATGACGGAGAACTGTCGATTAAAACACAACAATGTCCTTCGAGAACCAGAACCCCCAGACCCCACGGCTCTTTTCCGTGTACCCACGATCAGCGGCCCACCCTGGTGGGAGAAGACGACGACGAAGAAGAAGAAAAAAAAAAAAAGACAGATGCCAGGAAAAAGCCCCGTGTGGCCAGAGGGACTGGAACGCCATTCGGGGCCAAGAGCTACAGACGGACGCAGCCAAGTGGCGGTGGGGCCCCACGCTCCGCTCCCGCGCCTCCCGCGCCTCCCGCTCCCGCGCCTCCCGCTCCTGCTCCAGGAGAGCCTGGCTGTCAGCCCATTCTGCGTTACAGTGCGACACTGTCACTCCGAGGCCGACGCTTAATCGCTTCCATATCCGGGACGATAGTGAAATCACTCTGTTTCCAACTTTTACTCACAAGTAGGGGGTAAGATCCCTAGCAGGGGTAGGGGTTAATGCTAAAGCCTTTGATAATTTTATTTCAAATATTTGATTCAAAATGCTGCTAGAATACAATTTAGCTGCAATTTTCCTTAAGCTACGTAATGACTGGCTTTCCTTGCAATTTCATCAATGCTTGATATATTCTCCAATTCTTGTTAAGCAAGCTATATTATTCCAATTTTATTTACAATGCAGCCTGATGGAAAACACAGGTCTTCCCCTGGTAATTTCCACTAATTATTAAAATAGCAACCCTTAACATTCACATTCAGTTACAGCTGACCCTTTTGTTCAAAGCGAATTGAGAGTAATTTGTATTTGAAGTAAAGTACGTAGTATATACACGTTTACTATAGGTCTAAACGGAGCAGTTCGGGTTGGGTCACTCGCTCAACAGAACCATGGCACATTGCCTCTTAAGTAACTGCCACGCTTCGGTTTTGAAAACTATATTCGTACACAATCAATATGGCCCCTCATACCTATTTGTTTATTTTGGAACAGATGACATATTTCACACCTTAAAACCTTAATCAAAAATAACAACAACAATGAGGAAACGGTGCGTACATTGAGTATCCGCATATCACACATAACAGACTGTGAACTGAAAATAAAGCCGCACCAACACTGATGAACGCAGAGCGCCGCGCGTGTGTCCGTGCATGACGCTCCCGTCCACACCCTGCTCCTCTGTAAATACACCCAGAGAACAACATAAAAAGGGCAGAGTGAGTGAATTAAAGGGTCAGCGCTGGGGCGCCAGGACGAGTGTGCTGCCTTTGTGTGAGCCCCCCGGGGAAGCCCAGAGAAATCAAGCCCCTGGCTCCAAGCCTGGCCCCCGCCCCTCACTGAGTCCCATTCACGATCATGCCTCACCACAGTCAGCCGAGCCAGGAAGGAAAATGGGGGGGGTGTTTGAGAGGGGGTGGGCGGGGTGTGCTCGGGAGGGGTTGTAGAGGTTTCTTTAGACTCCAGTCTGCCTTTTTTTCCACTTTATACTGGGCATAAAGCTCCTGTTTAGCTAACAGACTGGACTTCAGACCCTGTTTAGCACTGGACAGACCGTAGCTTTATGCGAAAGCTAGACGCCGCCGGAGCACCGCGCATTCGAAAGTTCAAAAATATGTATGTGTGAGTTAAATAAGTTCTGTATGGAACGTCGGCCAGAGATATTCACGTCAGCGGAGACGCCCGGGAGAAACACATTCCTGGGAAAACAAGGATAGCAAATGGCGATACTGGGACAGCCAGGGAGAGCGTGTGGTCTGAGCGGCCCGGAGCTGAGCCCGTGGATCTCCAGTGACGGACCAGCACTAAAAGTCACCCGATGCCTGACCTCCTGCCCTTACTGGCACCCCCCAACCCCTAACCCCCATCTCCACAAAAGAAAAGAGCGAGTAACACCAACTCCCATTTAGAAAAAAAATGGGGAAGGGAGGGGAAAAAAAACTTTTAAAGTTTCCATAATGAGAAACATCTGTACAAGAATTTGGAGAGCAAGAGACAGAGAGAGGGCGAGAGAGAGAGAGAGAGAGAGAGAGAGAGAGAAAGAGTGACAGAGCGAGCAAAAGAGTGAGAGGGCGAAAGAGTGAGAGACAGTCAGAGAGAGAGAGAGAGAGAAAGAGTGAGAGGGCAAAAGAGAGAGAGGGGGGCAAAAGAGTGAGAGGGCGAGAGAGGGGAGCAAAAGAGTGAGAGGGCGAGAGGGGGGAGCAAAAGAGTGAGAGGGCGAGAGGGGGGAGCAAAAGAGTGAGAGGGCGAGAGGGGGGAGCAAAAGAGTGAGAAGGCGAGAGGGGGGGAGCAAAAGAGTGAGATGGCGAAAGAGTGACAGATAGAGAAAGAGAGAGTGAGAAAGATTGGAAGAGAGAGAGAGCACTGTAGATTATCTTTTCCATTTTTGCTCGAACAGCCCACATTATGCACCCCTTCATCCATTTGCCGGGGGAGATGACAATGCTACGTAATAAAATGTACACAGTAGATGGATATAGAGCACTGAGTTTTCCCTTGTAATATTGACAGAAGCAGTAAATAGAAATACCTCCTCATCCTCTTCAGGATGACATCCATCAAAGACCACAGCCAGGAAAAGGAAAACTGCCTGAGAAATTACTAATAATTTCTGCCTGATTTCAAGAGTTCAAATGACAGGCCGATACTTTTAAAAATCAAAAGATTCTGTCAGCCAGACGAACAGCATTCGGCTTTGCGACTCAGTACAACACAACGCACATGTCCAGGAGAATGACCCCAAACTTCTAATTGCAATAAGACCCCTATCAAATTGTTCCTTTTGAAATTCCAGCACCAAGACTTTGCTCGGCATAGAATACATATCAGCAGACATGTTTTCTGTATTAAATGAGCATGAAAGGCCCGTAAAAGAATACTTCAGCTTTTCAATGAAAACTCTGAGGTGGAGAAGCTGTTCTTCCTCCAAGTTCATGAGAAAGTAAGACGGACAGCCCAGCTTAGACAGTGAGACCACAGACATGTCCTACCTGAGAGCCCCACAGGGGCCGAGTAGTTTGTCTCCCCAGTTTCAGTGGAAGAAGGCACAGGGTCTGGAGAATCTGCGGGGGGGGGGACAGGTGAGGGTTATTCACACAGAAGAAGCACCATCAAGATGCCCAATTTATACATTTATCTTCGTCAGTTGAAAAATGAGACATGTCTAACAATGTATTTGAAAATTCTTAATGGGTATTAATGGGAAAAATAAAATAAAATGAAAGATTAGCTTTTGAACTAGCCAACAAAATCAAAGGTTGAGAATAGCACAGAGAGCATCCAGGAAGTCCACACCAGCCCAAGAGGAAGAAAACATCACACGAGCAAAGGAGAAATCCATAAGACAGGCATCCAGCACAATAGAACAGAAAAATCTGTCACTGACTGCACACACATATCATTCACCACTTTCTACACTCAATCCCAGGCCTGAATAGCAATAAGAGCAAGTTTCTCAATCATTATCCTAAACACCAAACACCAGCAATTACCAGCAACCTCGCTGGTACAACTGGGGTCCCCCAGCTGCATGGGACTGATGTTGACATTCAATGGCACCAACAGCTAAACTCAAACTCCCCTACGAGCACAGAAAGTAATGCGATATTTTCCCTCATCTGCACAAAGTGCTATTCATAATAAATAAACGGCATCAAGAAAATAAGAATGGAGAAAACATCTTAATGGCCTTATCAGCACAGTGTGTTGCCACTAATAGAAATATACTGTTCAGCAGGATACAGTTAATCACCCCAAAAACAATGAGGGAGAGACGGGGAAATAGCCTCAGCCTTGAACACTGTATACAGTGAATTTTCTTAATAGCAAGCTGCAGAAGAGAGGAAACTCTTTTGCTCAAAGCCCTAATGTTTAACCCTATGTTCTCTATAGCTTTTATGACCAATAGCTAATTTCCCCCCCTTATCACACAATGAAGCACGGTAAAATCTGTATTTGAGAGATGACGCATAGCCTTGCTAGAGTATTTCTGACAATAATTATGAATTGTCAAACCATTATTTTTAATGGGACTTCATTCCCTTATTTAAAATAGTTGGGGTAAAATACATATTTCTGGGATGAATTCTTTAATAAACTATAATGAACTGGAGCTTATTTAATTCATTTGCCCGATCATGTTGGGTAATGGGCACTAGGGCAGCATTTAGTCACTTCTTCAATCCGTTTCTCTCAATTCTGATGAAAACTGAACCCTCAGGGACAGCTGGCCTTGGCAATCCAATGCATCCCTCTCTCCAGTCATCTAACAATGTGATCCATGCTGGAGCTCCTTTCTCTGGCTTGGGAAACGCAGTGCTCTTTTCCTGGGCATGCCTCTTGGACCACAGGGCCGAGAGCGGCTCTCCGAGCCAGAAAGCCACGAGAAGCCAGACGGCAGCTTCAAACACTCCATGATTCATGTCGCAGGGAAGGGAAAACAAACTGACATTTCATGCTGGCGGCTCTGGTGCCGTCCAGGCTCAGTCGTCACTGAGAGGAGAACATACCGAATTCATGTCTGTAAAAGCACCTTGTATTCCGCCATACTGATTTCAGGTCTTGCGCTAAATAAATTGGTGCAGATACCAAACACTGCTGGATACATGAGAAAAAAATATACTGTTGACCCTTAAGAAACCAACACACTGATCCTATCCCAGATGAGTCAAACCATTACACTGACCCACTCATCTACTGATCTCAAAAAATAAAATAAAAATATTAACAACAACAATAATGCCAGTACTTCCCAGACATTCACCAGAACGCTTGGACGTTTCATTCAGGGAAGAGCAGCCCGACAGCTCTGATTAACCGTGCTTCATTCATGCGTGGAGGATCATGGGACATGTAAATAACATAGCAGACAGTCCATTCAGGTGAGGAGATCCTGCCCCTCCTTTCCCGGGATCCCCACACGCTCACATGACAGCGTCAGCACCGCCTCTTAAAACAAAAATGAAAGTTGCCGCTGCCACTTCCCCTTTCTTGCCGCTGCCTATTGTTCTGAGGTTTCTTTCTCCTCTGTCCTCAACAGCGAGACAGGGAAGCACGGCATGAGTCAAAGACCATGGAGACATTTCTTTGTCAAGCTCAGTGAGCTTAACTTCTATTTTCAATTGTATATTGATACATTTCTTTTGTATGTAGCTGGTCTTTTTTCTTTATTCATTTTTATATGGATTTGACATAATAATTGATGTTACTCATACACACAGCACTCTGATTCTATGTGATAAATGGTTAAGCCCAAAAAGAAACCTTACTAAAAAAAATTATAATAATAATAATAATAATGACATTCCAGGTGTTTTTTGCCAGTAAAGTAATATGTCCAGGCACATTTCAGTTTTTGCAATTATTTTCAGGCTAAATATATCAAGGATTAAAGTCCCTCAAGTTACAATGAAGAATTGAATATTAAATTAGACAAAAAAAAAAAAATCTGGTAATACAATATATTCAGCTTGTTTGACAGCCAGCAATGTCACGTAAACCAGAACAGGACAAGTAAGCATATGCATGGCCCAGAATTCTCACTGACCCTAAAAGTTAGCATAAAAGAGCCATTAAAGCATATGGCGTGCTTCCATTTCTGCACACAGCCTAAATCCACGCTTCTGAATGGGTTATCTAGAGCTTCGCCGCCGCCAGCAGACATACAGGCACGAACATGCAAGTTACCCACACAAATGTCTGACCAAAAAAAAACTCAGCCATCGGAAGATCAATTCGACAGATAAAAGTCGGCGCAGTGTCTTTGTGCCTCTCCCCTGTGTGATCCACATTTCCGATTTCCGCTAAACCCCCCCCCCCAGCCCAGCCATGAGGCCCCGGTCTCCCTGTGCCCCCGGTGCCAGTGCAGTTTATCTACCCTGCCAGGTCACCCGTCAGCCAGAAGTTTGTGCAGACAACCACTCCAGGGCTGGTGCCAGCCAGAAATGGGTCCGGGCCTTGGCCGGCGTCCACGCTATTACAGGGTCCTGGCCGGCCAAAGGCGCTCCCGGCTCCCATAAATCACATCTCATGGTGGACCTCGGCTTCATAATAAAGTTTAAAAGCCCGTCTTTAGGAAAACACGCAGCCTTGCTGCTTAGGCAATGTAAAAAGTACAATCATTTTTAAAATGGCCACGGAAATTCTGGAGACATCAGATTTGTTTTATATATACACACACACACATATGTGGACATATATGGATATATTTGTTTGTATGTGTATAAAAACAAACATTTTAACCCTTAAGGATTTTATAAAAGTACCTATAAACTAATAGGACGTAGGACCAAACAACCAAAGCCAAGACCTAACGCGCTATTCAGATACCATGCCAATGATTTCCTAAACTGAAGAATATATGCTATTTGGAGACTGATTAGAAAACTTACCTGGTGGTTTTAAAAAGTCCACGGGGTATCGTGAATAGGGAGGCGGGGGGGACTCTGCAATGAAAAGGGCACATGAGGAGGCATGGCTGTGCGTGAAGGAGAGGCAGAAACTATGATAACACTTGGCATTCTTCTTGAAAACTGTTTGTCTTAGCTGTGAGGGCCGGAGGCAGGGCGGAGAGGCGGCGATCGCCTTGATATTTAGCAGGCAGATAAACGAGGGGGCGCCTGGCGCCAGTCTCCCGTCTATCTGGGACTGGGGCAGGGAGATACGGGCCTCTTTTGGCTCAGGGAAGTGACTGTAAAAGCGGCAGCAACCTCATTTACAAACCGCCGCTTATTCCGCCCATTCCCTCTTCCTTAGCGATATTATGAAAACGAATAAATGTGCTGCTTGTGTTTTATAGCAAGAGCCCGTTTAACAGCACGATTAATAAAAATCTATATCAAATATTACAACGTATGAGCAATCGGCGATTTACATTTTGCTCACAATTACTTGCTTCATGTGTTCTTTTAAAAAAATACATGGTGATGTTGCTGTTTTACGTCTAAGCATGTAATTAATTCACATTAACGTAATATTAAATAATTTACCTATTTGCAGTACGCGGTAAATAAGCGAAAAGAATATCAGCGGCTGATCATAGCCATAAAATGAACAGATATTAATATCTTTATTTCTACTTTGAATCAGAAAATAAACTTTTTTTAGCTTTCACCTCGCTCTTTACAGGCAAGGGGTATTTGATCTTTGATACCTTGCTGTAGTAGTAGCATAACAAACTGTGCCATGTACTGACATTATACCATCTTAACATCTCCGTATCACATTGGATACGTGATATTAATATCCACATTATATTTGCAAGGGACTTACCTAATTCACAAAGCCGACTCATATGGTGCGGATTGCAGCAAACAAGTTCTGGGTTAATTTTCCCATAGGATTCACAGCAAGAAAGCCTCTTTAATTCCGAAGAGTGCCTGAGATCCGGCCACCTGAACACTTTATAGAGCAGCAAAGGGAGCGAGTACGAGTGCTGACCCAGTTTGGAGTCCACTTTGCTGGGCAGGAGAAGACAGGGGCTCCTGACGCCCCCCTTCGACTCCACCGCCTGCAAAAGCGCCTCTAATTGTTTCTCTTTGATTTTTTTCAGGATCGAGTGGGTCAATACTTTTAATTCAGCCTCCGCTCCAGGGTTAGATTTGGAAACCTTAGTCGATTTGCCCATGCAGCAGCCCTTGGATCCATGCGTTCGAGTATCCGCCTCCCCGTCGCCCTCGACAGGCGCACGGCTCCTCCAGAGTCGCCGGACGAGCCCCGATCGTTTGGTCCTGAACATGCGGGACGAAAAGAGGGTTTCCCGGCTAAAAAACGAGCATGATGTCCGCAAATCATGAAGGATCCGGGATCCGAGTCCAAGCAAAGACAAGCAGCCTGAAATGATCGTACGGAAAAACTGGGGACTTGAGCAGCTAAGACAATCTGTAGCATACGCCAGTCTTCAGTCTAAGATATATCCCTTATACGAAAGGACGCTTTCAGAAATGTGCTAATGTGCACCGACGATATACTTTGGGGTAGTTGCAGAAATAATAATGCAGAGTGTAAATACATGTATCTTTTAAGTTATAAACATTTAGTCGGACAGCTACATAAACTGTACATGCACGCAAAATACTGTTCAATGCAACTGCAACATGCAGTATACAGACTCCACTGGTAATGTTTAGCTAATTATAGCTAACTACAATAAACGCTACATTCAGTCATGCACTTTCTTCTGAATGATTTCAAACACTGTAATGTGTATTTACGTATACGAAATCACGGCATACAGATTACTATAGTGCCGGTTGGAATTTTTTTTAAGTAGGGTTAAAAAAAATTAATTGCACAAAGAAACATATCCATTCATAGCCAAGCTTGTCCTGCGTTCATAAAAGAAAAATTAAATCCACAAAATCTTCCAAGACGCCAGCGAACATTAACCGGTGCAACAAAAGGCTGCTGTCTGTCTTCCCCCCCTTGGCTTTTAACAATTATCAGCTATATCCGTATTACGATATTGAGATCCGCAACAAACATTGTAACTGTTTTCAGAAAACCAGGGGGATTCTTTCCAGCAGATCAAAAAAGAAAAAAAAAACGCTCAAGCAAAATCCAAGACTAGTCAAAATCAATCTGATCGAACAGAGTACTCGCGTTTCCTATAAAGACATTTATATTTCGTCCCTTTAAGAGCGGTGCATCTTTTATATATCCTTATTTCGAGTTATCCGACTTCTTTTAGGTGAAGTTGAGGCGTCTGTGTATATAAAAAAAAGCAGAAAGTTGAGTGCGTACAAAGAGGTGATGCGATCTTCAGAAGTGGTTCTGCCTGCGCCGCGGATGGCCGAAGTGCCCTTGCCTTCCCCCGGCCGCCTCTGTGCGCTCGCAGCCGCCGCGGCTCCAGTGCGCATTGGCGCGCCCCGTCACGTGGGTGTCTAGACACTCTGTCGCTTAAAAAAAGTGATTGTGTTGCGCAAACAAGAGATCAAGTGGCTCGCCGCTAGATAGAGAGAGAGAGAAAAGTTACATTAGCCCAACTTGTAAATAGTTATTCTCCAAGAGAAAGACATTTTTAAACGGGAAACACATAGGTGGGCTCTGAGCATTTTTATGGTGAAGGAGAAGGGGGCGCCAGTTTTACATAGGTGAACATAACGCTAAATAGTTTAAACTTGTTTAGCTGTTTATAACATAAAAAAAATACGAAAAATATTAATTTTGAGAATCATGCATTAAAAAAATGGGTTCGGCAAAGATCACTCACAAATTAAAAACTATTTTAGTGGCACATAATGTTAACTATGTGCGCAATTCAGTTTTGTTGTGTTTGTTTATCTGTCTGTTTGTTTGTTGTTACAGATGATAATTCGAAATGATCTATAATCATTATTGAGTGAAATAATAATAATAAAAAACATTTATAAGCCTAGATCTGGTTTTGTGGCTACTTTTTTAATTTTTTTTTTTTAGTATAATTGTATTTGCAAGTCGTGCTCTTACATGTTAGTCTCAATTAATAGCGTTTTCGCCACATATACCAGTACTCAGTAGTTTAGTTGTTAGACAATAGTTTCTAGTTTCGCATTACCAATAACATGGCATGTAAATGTTTGCTTATTTTCCCTTTTGAAAGGATTATTTTTGGAAGGTGCACTGATGGCACTTTTTGCATTTTCGTGTCAGACAGCCCAAACAATGGGGCGATTCTAAAGGCGCGTGCTGTGGCAGAACCTTCTGGAGCCAGTGTCCATTAACCTAATTGTTTCCCTGACAGCATCGAGAAAGAGACGAAACAAGGAAATGGTTTCCTCGCCCATCAGCGAACAGGTCTGCAGCTGAAGACGCGACTGCCGTCATCGACGAACCCCTTCACTGCAACGAATACACCTCAGAGCATTTAAACGATATTTAATTAATTCATTCATGCATGCATTCATTCATTCATTCCTATGAAAAGCTTGTTGATCTTGTCGTGCCTATTAAATTTACCGAGTAAAAATACAAAATTTTAGAAAGCGTGAAATTCCTCTGTGCAGATTTATAAAGGTAACTCTGGAGTCGGCTAATTTGGCTATATTGCAAAGCTTAAACATTACCTAGTATAAAATGCAATAAAAGTAATATTATCCAATTAACCCACATGACAGCCACAGATATGTCTAGAGCGTCAATAAGGCCAGATGGCAGCGTGCTGCCTGCCTGTCTGCGGTGTTGCGTTTCTCGGCATGGCAGACTGAGGGAGCCGGGGGCCGCCGATAACATCTGGCCCTTTAAGCGGCCCCGGTGGCCGGCCGGCCGGCCAGACAGAGATCTCTTGTGCGACTGAAGAATGCCGCTGTAGTCTAATTGTGTCTTAGACAGTAGGCGAGGCGCAGTATGTTAATATGGGTGCCAGTCAGTGTCGCTGCAGGGCAGTGGGATGGATGATTATGATGATGGGATATGTGCGCTTGGGAGGCGCCGCCAGTCAATGGCTCTCGCTCCTATTGTTCCCAGATTCCCCACTGGCGCCGCAAAAGAGCCGCGTTCAACAAGCGAATAGCAGCATTTAAGGTAGTCTGGAAGTAATCACACACCGTACGGCAGGCAGAAAAAACTACTACTACTACTACTACAAGACCGTCAGCTTAAAAGACGTTTAGCTAATTACCTAACCGCTACCGGAGCGTATTACCCGTTTTTGGCAATGTTCACATAAATAACTGAAGGTAGCGAATCTTATTTTATTCTATTTATAATTTAACTGCGGAGCTCAATTTATCGTCAAGTTTTTATTCATTGATTTAGAAAATTACCAAAACAAGAAACAAGCTTGTGAGCTCGGTTTACAGAATAAACAGCCTAAGTTCTAATTTAGTATGCTACGGAAAGTGGGATCTTTCTAACACGTCTCGCACATAAGTAATGGTATGGTATTGTAAACCATTCCTTCAGGACCATTCTCACTGAAATACAATAATTGAAATATATTCTTGCAATTAAAGCGAGTAATTGTTGTCAAATGTCACACTATAGTCGACAGGAGCAATAACTAGGCCTAAATGCAATAATACAATACTCCTGTAGTAACTATACTAGAATAACCAATTGCATTCATATATGTTTTTTAAATTTGATGCTTAATGCATTTATTTTTTTTAGCTGACGCGTCTAATTGCACATCAGGTAGGTTACAATATAATACGCTATATTTAGAATATTTATATGCTGGGTGTTTTAACTGAAATTAAAAGGCAATGTCAACAGGTAGCTACTTCTTAGGTTCATAACCACTAAAACTAGCTTGTTCTTTACATGAAATCCATTACGTACTACTTAAAATTCCTGGGCTCAGGCCATGACATGTGCCAAATTAGTTTCCATGACGACTGCAGTAGATGCATTTCTTGTTCCTTCCTGTATATTTTGTTATACTATCTTATATGGTGTGTTTACAAAAATATAAAGTATGATTTGTTATATTTTACAAAATTCCAGATTTTTGTAATAATGTTTTACAAATTATGATACTTTTGAATAGATTTCAATACAGAAAACAATATTTAAGGTCATGTGAGTTATACGCTTTGTTCTTATGCAAGGGGTAGTTGAATTTAAAGCAGACACTAGTTTTATGTGAGGGAAAAAACACATTAATATAAATAATACTGTTCTAAACCTTTTTGTTTAGTAAGAAAAATATAGGCATGTAATATATAATTGTGACTAGTTACTTACAGCATAAATCTATTTTTTCTTTTTGAGAATGATAGGTTTACTTATTAAACATTTGCACTTTTTTTCCCACAGCTGATGAGATGGTGTCAAATATGAACTCTTCAGTTAAAAAATGTACACCAAACTGAAGAAGTGACAAATATTGATGTGCATTTCTGCGTGCAGTACTTCAGTCTTTTATCATTGCTATTTATCTTATATTGTGCAACAAATACTGAGTGCAATACATTAGCAGGGAAAACATGGTAGGGTTTTGCAAAACAGGTTTCTGCAGAAGTGTAAATGCATTTGTTCTGAAATTAGCAGTGCTACAGGGCCTGTGTAATATCATATCCACTGAGCCTTTACTTTGCTTCTTGCCATCCAAATATGATTACATGGCAAAATGAATTGTCCAAGCACAGAGGTATCCTTATATGAAAGACATTAAATGAACAACAGTTTAGATGTATTAAAAAGCTAAGGAATGAGAACATCATTAGTGCATTACTTCCTAAAAGGTGGAAATCCCCTTAAAACTGCTCTACATCCAAATAAGAGCAGACAAAGCTGACTGGTGTCTGCAACTTTTCCATGTGACAGCTTTACTGGTAAACATATCCTATTTATGTTACATCTTGCATGACGGATACAGGCACAGACAAACATGTAACACATGAGGAGTATATTAGCAGTAAGTGCACATGATCTTAGCTTGATAAGTGGCTATTTAAAATAAGATTAAAACATATTTGAAATCATTAACTTTAGGCAAACCCTAAAATACAATTTGGTGTTAAAACAAGAAACAGCAACAGCAAAAAAAAAACTTTGAAAATAAAAGATTCAGAGGTGTTTGTGATACATCAGTTTTCTATAATGGCTTATACCTACATTTGTGACATTTTTAAAACATGTTATCATTCATTTAATTATTATTTTATTTATAATGTGAATAGCTGTTTATTTGCCAGTCCAGGAGCCCACACTTATCTTTACTAAGCTGAAGAATATTATAATGCACTGGAATATCACTTGGTTACCCTTGGTTACAGTGTTATGGATAATGACTTGAGCTTTAAACAGGGCTTGAAGAGTAAATTGCTTTGTTAGGGACATACAGCAGATGGTATCTGTTAAAAAAAAGCACAACATGTGAAGGGGAGACATGCATGTTTTTAAACCTCAGCACTTCGTTATAATTTCAAAGGATGATGCTATGGGGTGTGCAACAGTTATAAAATAAAAAAAACAATATTTCAAAAGCAGAATCAACAAGTCTGACACAACACCTATACAGATTATTTATATAAACATATAATTCTCATCATGGTCTTCCTAAAAAAACAAAATGTCAATATAAACATGTTGCATAATTAACACATCTTAAATAACTGTGCAGCATTAATCATACAAGAATTATTGCTTAAAGCTGTCTCACTTATGTCCCCATTTTTAATCTTACAACACTAAACAGTGCAATTTTGCAGGGTCAGAAGGTTGCAAGTATTACATTTCATGAAAGGATTATTTCTCAGACTATGAAAGCCAGCAATTGCATGTCATCCAACGGAGGACCTGGAACACAGTCAGTCTCTGCTTTGGGGCAGGGCAGCAGTTAATTGGCTGGCCAACACCCATGTTCAGTAACCGCTAATCCCTCTAGTACTGTAAAGCAAAATGGAATTTTACTGCCTTTCAATGAAAATAAACGTATATGTGGGGAAAAATGGCAGTTGTTCAGATGGTATTTTAGTTATGTTTTTCATTTTGCAAAAGCATATTAAAATAATCAATTTGCATTTATCTTTAAAAAAAAAAAAAAAAAAGCAGAGGTTCCAAGTCGAAAAGAAGCCATAACTTCCGAGAAGAGCTGCTGTCACATTAATATACGAACTTTGTGAAGAGGCTATATTTTTAGTATCTAGACAGACATTCCAGCTAGTCTATTCCTTGCACAATTTCTCAACCAAAATACATAGAAGTTGGTGTTACGCAACCTTTCCTCAAGTGGGAAGCTTTGATGTAGCTGCGTGGCCGAAGTCGACCCCTGGCAACCTCCCGGATGAGACCTGAAAGGTGATTCTAAACTCCCTGCAGATGTTTGTTTGCTCAAAAAAAACATACACATGCATATATTATTTACATACATACACAATTTATATTTTTAACCAAATAAAGAGCAATTACTATTATTACCAGTATAAATGAAAATCTATAGCTGAAAACAGTGCTAAAAGGTATAAATGTGAACACACTGCACGTTCCAGTGCACAAGTTCAGTCATTCTAACCACATTGTTTTTCTTCATTTCCAGTTTCATCGTATGATTGGCCGTGGTCCCAGGAAGCCCTAGGGGGAATGAGGGTGTGCGCCTAAAAATGACATTACGGTGCCAGCACCCTAAAGACATACAAGGCCTGAGAAAACTGCTCTTCACTTATGCCTCATGCAGGACATTTCTCCTTCTGAATGATGCTTCAGTACCAGCAAACACACACAGGGGTATACAGAAGTCCAGTAGCTTCAGACGGTCAAATTAGCAGAAAAAAGGGCCATAGCTTTTCCACAATTATATTCCATTCTCCTTATTCGGCAGTGATTGACTGATCTTAGAGTCACTCCGTGGAAGCAGAGGTCACTGCGCAGAGGACGCTGTAGGCGGGATATCAGTCCGTTTCAGGGCAGGCACCTAGATACACTCATACGTCAGCGCAATTAAGAAAACCCAATTCAGCTAATTGCATGTTTTTAACTGTGAGAAGACGCACACGAGCATGCGGAGAACATGGAAACTGAACTCCATGTGGGAAAAGAGTGCTGTCCTTAAAATAGTCAAGCAAAGGCTGACCTGACTAGTCAGTTTTAAGCCAAGATTTAAATGTGGATAATGGTGGGGGGCATATAGAAGATCCTCCAGAAGTTGCTTCTAGCAGAATAATAGATAGATGCTGCTCCACCATGCCTGGTTCGACGTCTTTAGATCAAAGGGATATAGCAGGCTTGTATTCTTCAACCAGATTAGAAGTATATTCTGGATGAAAACCTTTTGACTGATTTATAAACAAACAGCAGTATTTTGTAAAGGAAGGCCATTTAAAGATCTAGGAATTGGTGTAACATCCTCAGATCAATTTACCCCTGTTAGAACTCTAGCAGTAACATTCTGAATGACAAAAAGAGGTATAATGGTTTCTATGGGAGGCCCATTCAAGAGATTGTTGCAGTTGACCATCCTGCTGAAGACAGATGATGAGCTTCTTTAAGTCTTGTTTGGACAAGAAGCCTCTAATTATCTCTTTTTTTGTCTGATTTGGTTATTGGTTTGATATGGACACCGAAGTCAAAGTCTGAAGCCATTACGACACCAAGATTTCTGACTTCTGATTTTACGTACGTATTTTTAAACCTCTGGAATCTAGCGATTCAATCAGACAGCCAAACGGAAACACAGGGAAATGCAAAATGTGCAATTAAACATTTCAGCCATACATGGAGTACAGAAACAATGAGGACCTAAAGGAAAAACCGAACACATTTATTATTATAATTTATTTTTCAGTGCTGGTCATTTTAATAAAACCAAAAAAAAGTTGATCAACAATACTATGCACAGAAAAACAGAACAATTTACTATTGTTTTTATTATATTCAATTTACCATTATGATGTATTATTGGACTCACCTGTACGCCACTAACATGTCAATGTATCACTTCTGTACTTTTCCTTAGATTATGCTTTGCATACGCATTAGAGGTAATTCAACAGATAAACAAAACACTATCTTTCGCTAGAATATTAATAACAGGAGAATAATTCCACCTTTCTTTTTTTTTATTGATGTTGGTTTACAAAGATTTAAATTAGCAATACATTACAATCAGGAGGAAGACGGGTAAAGCATTCTCAAAGATTTTAAATGCCAGGCTGGCCGCTCACATTTTTATAGCTGCGATGTGCTGAAAATAAATTAAGTTTTAAAGACTTCAGTTTATACATGTACAGAAAATAAGACATCAGCCCTCCGCTGCTGATCAGGTGTACAGCATCCCTGCTGTGTAACAGCGATCAGTTTCATCGCCTCCATGTAACAAAAGCAGATGTCCCTCGCAGCATTCCGTACCAAATCTTATATAAGCTCATAAACCATATTAGGGCATACATTTTCTTTTCACTCAACCTGACTAGTCTTACTGCAGGGAAAAGGGGGGGTGGGGGGAGAAATCACAAGAAACACCCACTCTTCATATCCTCATAGTAAAATTTACTGAAACAAACATGCTTTTTGTAATTGTGTATAAAAAAAAAAGCGTACATGCACTTGCTGAGTCTCCCCATTCTTGGATTGTGTAATGGATGTATGTACAGATCAAGTTTAAATGAATTAAATTCTGCCCCCCCCCTTTTTTTTTTAAAGCTTGTGCAAATATATAAACTATATAAGCCCTTAGTATATACTATAGTAAATCAGTATTATAGTATTTAGTATACTATAGTATATACTATAGTATATACTAAGGGCTTGATCAATAAGAAGAGAAAAATATATAATAAAAGGCGATTGGCTAGGTCTGTATCTGAAATTTGGGGTACGTGCCACTCAATAGTGTATTGATAAGAATAAAATAATAAACTGTCCATAATGTGAATTAAATAAACACCTTCTACTTGACATCTTGCCTGCTGCAATAATTGTCTTTTATTAATAAAACCTGCATTTGATGCCATATTTTTGTCAGCTGCATTTAGCCAAATATATGATCATAACAGGAAGGAAAACCAGTGAGGCTCCCATTAATGTTTACATGCTTTTTTTTTTTGTAACGTTAGCCATCAGTGTGGGAGCTGACTTACTGGTTGCCCCCGCACCCTATCGAGATGGACCAGTGCCGACGCTCAGTGCGGCAGAAGTGTGGCTGATGTTCAGTCTGCCCAGGAAAAGCGGTGTGCAGTAATGATTCTGGGTTGATGCAGCCAAAAATGAAACATGAACCCTTGTGATCCACTTTCTGGAGCTAGAGGCACCTTCCAAAGCCACGTACAGACAGCCAAGTATTTGCTCACATTCAGGCATAGCTACACGTTACTCGGAAATATAAACCCCAGAAACATCCAGCCGTACCCCCCATCCCCTCCAGTACTCTCATACATATATTCACACAAGCGAAGTCAGCTGGAATCCATGCTGAAGAGCTCAATGCCTTGGGGGGTCCAGTGGAGACCCACCCCCGAATTGAAGACCAGGGACCAAACATATGGTATGAAGAAGTCTTCAGGTTGATCCTCTTCCACGTACTTGAACTTCAGCTCTGGAAACTTCTACACAGGAATCACATGAAGGACAGATTAATACAGGTTTTATTTTCTCACTCTAATTTATCATGTATATCTTTACCTGATTCACATAACGAGATTATTTAGTGCAGTAATCTCAGTTCCTTAACGACTGCCCACTTTCATAAGGCTTTATTTTCTTAAGCTTTCCCTTGATGAGATGGTTTCTTTGACCTTATACAGGTAAACGGCTGAGCTGACAGTGTATACAGTGAACGTTGTGCTGACATGTGCTTGACATTTCTGCTTAGTTATACTGCATATGCAAACAAAATTACCGCATGTATAACAACCCTCTGTAACTGGTTATAGTACAGGGTTAGGGCGAGCTGGGATGAATCTCAGGAGACAGGATGTACGGGGCAGGCAGGTGGCCTGCCAGAGCATCACACAGCACCAGTCACATTCTCTGGGAGGTTTTGGGAAACACATTTACTGAGCCGCATGTCTTTGCAAATTGGGAGAAACCAGGAGTACTCACTGCACTTGGGATCGAACAGGAAAAACTCCACACACAAAAAGCCAAGACAGGAATCAAACCCACAGCCATAGAGGTAAGAGGATGCAGACACCCCCACGCTGACTTTTACTAAAACCCCCTAAATTATTTTATGTCTAATTTTATTTATTGCTTCAAAGAATAATGTACATAATCTCTAGATTATCTGGTTTTAGTATGAGAGACTGAATTTTTTAAAAAATACAACATTCTTCACAGTTCACTGTTTAAATTTTACATTTTGTTTATATATCTTGTTTAAGAGATACAGCACTTTCCGGAACACAGAGGCAGGGTATATTTAAAGGAGGGGGGGAGGGGGGGGGGGGGGAGAAAAAAATCAAATTTAAGAAATTATTAAATGTGACAGAATACAGCAGCTTCATGTGGAAGTCACCTCGTAAAACTATCAGCTTCTGAGGTAATAGTCTTTAAATATTGAGTAACTTATAATCAACTACCTGTCTAAGAAAGGAAACACATTTGTTCAAGATTGTCAATGTCAGAAAAACAACCAGTGACAGATTACACAATTTCTTCTTGATCTGGAGGGAACACAAGCATCCCCAAGCATTCAGATGGGGGCTCATTCAGCCAGTGAAACGGCGGGCATGTTATAAATTCTGACAGGATGTTATGCCATCAAAAATTTCAGTGGAGACCAATTTCCGAGAGAGAGCTGCCTTTCGTCTCAAACAGAAATTCCACTTCTCTTTGCACTGAATCTTTTATAAATCATCTGCCTTATTAGTGCCCGACTCCCCCACTTTGAATAATATAGAGATAAGCCAAGCTGCCCCCCCCCCCAAAAAAAAACCAAAACATCCTTCTCGAAAATATTCCAAAACGCATTCATTTTCGAAGTAATTTAATCCTCTAAAGCGCTTACAGCAGACGTCACATAAGAGGTGGCACTTTATGAAGAGAAGTGAGGATTCCCCAGTGCCATTTGGACAAACCCCCGAGTGACACAAAGGGTATATGCAAGCTGCCCATCGTGTTACCATAATTGCACTGTGCTGAAGGGAACTCGTCTAACAGCGAGATCCACAAGAAGCAACACAGACCCTGCTCTATTATTCATAGCCTGCCGGCTGCAATGCACACTACATCCCGACACATTCTGGCTAAGGGCAGACAGGAGGAAGATGGCTGGCTTCATTAATAACAGCAGTATCTTGTCATACCCACAATGTTAAGAGTGCCTAGAGTTATTCCACTGAGAGTAACACTGTAAAAAACAGCATATAAATATTCATTGCCAACTCACCCCTCTATTTTAGCAGAGTACAGCCTCAGAGCTGGAAACGGTGAGTAATGCTCAGCACGCCATATACAGCCTGAATATACCAATAACTCACGCAAGAGAAAACACACGGATGAAAAAGGGAACTTCTGGAACTCGCGTGATAGGAAACGATTCCTGAAATCTGGTAAAAGCAATATTTATTTTTTCATTCATTAACAATAAAATTAGATTGGAATTTCTCAGGTGGGTAAAAGATAAAGCCGTCAGCTGTCGGAGATTAGTCAAAATTGTAGGACGGGCCAAAAATCCCAATTCGTTACTGTGCAGCTCAGCAGGTTATAAATCTGGCTCCATGTCCGGAAGGTTATGGGGTAAAACCCCTTGGTTGGCAGAGTAATATCATCAACACTGGGCCCTTGAATAAGGCCCTTAACGCCGAGCGCTACAGGAATGCTAGATGGCATTTGACCCCGCACTTTCTTCACTCGTACGTCTCACTGGACAAAAGCATAAGCTGAATAGATAAATGTAGATAATTTTTATTGTTTAATTTCATTGTTAATGCACATATTGCAAGTGATAATGTATTATTACCAGAAACTTGGAATTGTTCAGGTAATTTTATTTGGATGTCATTTGAAATTTTACGTAACATAATAAATGGAAATACTTCCAGACTTCAGCTTTCCTAAAGTGAAACAAGAATTAAGGTTTTCTAACTTTAACTCATAAAGCCAAAGTGCATAAAGATCAAGATCAAGTCAGATGCATTAAAACCTAAATCCTAACAAGGACATCTACTTTAGCACGGACTGTAAAAAAGTAGAGCCTGCGCTTATGCAAATGCTTTCCACACAAAGATGGGAGACAGAGGGGTTAACGGGAACGATCAGCTATCTCTCTCTCAGCTCCCAGTCTTCAGTTTGTGAAGCTTTTAAAGCTTTCATGGAAAAAGGAGGTTTGTCCCACAAGGATGTGTGCAAGAACTGGTGAAAAAAAACAAAACTATACAGAAAAAGCAACACATCTGAGGTGAGGCCGAATAAAGAAAGACAGAATCAGAGGCTGTTCTGAGGTGAGGCCGAATAAAGAGAGGCAGAATCAGAGGCTGTTCTGAGGTGAGGCCGAATAAAGAGAGACAGAATCAGAGGCTGTTCTGAGGTGAGGCCGAATAAAGAGAGACAGAATCAGAGGCTGTTCTGAGGTGAGGCCGAATAAAGAGAGACAGAAACAGAGGCTGTTCTGAGGTGAGGCCGAAAAACGAGAGAGAATCAGAGGCTCTTCTGAGGTGAGGCCGAAAAACGAGAGAGAATCAGAGGCTCTTCTGAGGTGAGGTCGAATAAAGAGAGACAGAATCAGAGGCTGTTCTGATTTGTTATTATTCTGCTTATCAAAACACAGGCCAGTGTGGTGATTCACATCGGGAACACACAGAGCTGCTGTCCCACGATCTCTAGGTCCTGGAAAACAACAAGCTTCCTGAGTAAAAACGGCTAATTGGTGAGAGGTCATCATGTTGGTGTAGGGGGAGATGGCTCACGGACTCTGGAAGGTCTGTCCGCAGGGCAGCTCCTGCTCGCTGGAGCCAGACTGTCTATCGCTTATCACTGCAGACCAAGGGAGTCCGCGCCAAACAATACATTCCACGGGCGATGTTCCTGAAAGTGACTGGGCCCAAAAGCCAGAGTAACAACACAGGCACGTCTCTGGTGATACTGAAAATGAAAGCCTTTCTCCAGGCGGACAGGCCTGGGTGGTGCCACTGTTTCTGCCTGGAGGGAGAAGGACTATCAGACATAATGGGGGCAGTCGGGACAGTGCCGCCAGAGAGACGGGACCCAGGCTTCCAAAAAAGCTTCACCATCTTCTGTTTACCGTCTATTATGTATCTGTAGATTTGTCTATTCAGGCCCACAGGACAGATTTGCTACCCAGGGAAAAAATCTAATAGTAGCTAAATCAGAGTGAATTAATTCATTTTTAAAGTATACACAGTTAGCTAGATGATAATTTTTTATTTATTGATTGTTACCCAAATACGACATTCGCACGAGTGACCAGTTTTCCCCAGAAATAATAGCAGACAGACTAATTCTAGAAAATAAATGTCTAGTTTTTGTGATGTGAAGATAAAACATTAATTTATACTAACAGTTACTGAAGGCCACTAGGTGCTCCACCTCCAATGGAGATAGAGGTGACACCCCCTCAGGCTCCGCCCCTAACATATACATGCCCTTTGCGCCTTAGTAACCTCTATACTTCACACACTAATTAAAAGAAATAACAATATTTTTATTAGCCTTGGGTACACCTAGGATGGGAAGTCAATCCATTACGGAGCATGTGCAGGCAGACAGACAGACAGACAGGCAGGCAGGCAAGCAGACAGGCAGACAGACAGGCAGGCAGACAAGCAGACAGACATGCAGGCAGACAGACAGACAGGCAGGCAGACAAGCAGACAGACATGCAGGCAGACAAGCAGACAGACATGCAGGCAGACAGGCAAGCAGACACACAGGCAGGCAGGCAAGCAGACAGACATGCAGGCAGGCAGACAGACAGGCAGGCAGACAAGCAGACAGACAGGCAGACAGACAGGCAGGCAGACAGACAGGCAGGCAGACAAGCAGACAGACAGACAGACAGACAGACAAGCAGACAGACAAAGGTAGGCAGACAGACAGACAAGCAGACAGATAGACACACAATGTACTCATATCTTTGTGGGGACCATCCATTCATTTCTATGACCATAACCCTAATCCCAGCAATGACAACCTTAACCCCTACCCAGCCCTAACCTTAACCATAAGTAACCAAACTAAATACAAGACTGTTGGCACTTTTAGTTTTTTGATTGCAGTCACACATTTTTATAAAATCAAGTGTCCCCTTGTGGGGACTGGAAAAATGGTCCCCAGTACATCAAAATAACAGGTTTTTCATCACATTGTGATCCCCACAATGTAATGTATACACACACACACACACACACACAGACATACACACAGACATACACAGAGCCTATTATCAATGTAATATCCCCACTAAATGGGCTTCATGTTACACACAAAATCCAGTTCAAGTGCCGTTTATAATAACTGTAGGGGAATTTGAGTGAGATGTGGGTTGGTTACAACTCAAGTATGGTGAAAGTGTTAGTGGCCAAACAAGAGCACTCATTTTGCTTGTGGGGGTTTCCATGGCCATGCTTATGTGGAGGTGGGAGTAGGATTATATGCCAGGGGTCCAGCTCTGGTCCTTCCAGAATAACTGATCCATCTTGATTTACCTGTCCAGCTGAGGAAAGCAACTCCATGCAATTTAGTTTTACGTTCCGGCCTACATCATAGAGTATGTGCTGAAGTAGCCGTTCTGTTACGCTTGCATGGCACAGTCATATTAAGATACTTTGCAAGCAATGTTATTATTTTTCAGATTGACACTGCAGATTCAGCAGAGCAGACACTAAATGTGCTGCCTCTAGAGGTTAATTATGGTAAAGATGAAACCATACAAAACAATAATTTATGGGGACCAAAGACAGGCAAAGGGAAAGGGGAAAATACACATGAATGGCATTTTTATAAAGAACATCTGAGTTCTCATACATTTTTAATACAGTTTTCAGCAATAATACAAGTGTTAGCATTCATTGGCATTAACTTCCTATATATTTTCAACCAAGCAGTATTTTTGATATAAAAATGTTCGTATTTGTTGCATAAATTACCACAGCTGTATCGGTCAATGAAAGCCTGATTCTGAGTGACTGTTCAGGGACATTAATTGTGATATTCTTTGAGGAAGGAGAACATGCTGGGAACAAGTCAGAGGCAGCTAAACTACAACTTAGCAAGTCCCAGGTACGCTTAAGAATGCCCCAAACAGACAACCAGCAAAACAGACAACACCAATGGACAGACAGTTCCTGTTTTCTTAGTATGACATATGCTCATTCAGATGTGCTTCACTGATTTAAGCATGTATTAATGCAAGATGGCGGTTTCAGTCAAGTTTCCACTGGCAAACTAACAACATACTGAAATATAGAGAATATGAGAACAACTTAAAGCTTAACTAAATGAATTACATTAAAGCTAGAATGAATGTTTAACTGAATTGTGCATGTTCTGCCCCTTTAAGACTTAACCAAGCCAGATTCTGTAAGTTAAAGAGTCAAAGCAAATAAATATCTTTGTTATTGCTATCATTCATTCTCATTACTCTTCACTCTGAACTGCCATGACTGACTTCATCACTGGATAGGAGAAATTGTCGCAAATGTTTTATATGGTTCTGTGTGTCTGGTTTTATTCCGAAACACGAAAACTCATTAACCACGACATTTTATTAGCACCCTTGATTCATTACAATAATGAATGTTAAAGTTTCAAATATATAACATACTCATAATTCTGAAAACTTTAGGTAGCCGACAGTAGGTCAGTTTCTAAAATAATCTTGAAGCAGAAGCGAAAGACTTTTCTTAAAGGTGCGGTTGTTGATACGCAGAATTAAACGGCTCCTCACCTCCTCAGTCGTTTCCATGCCATCCAAGGCCGAGAACAAGAGGTGAAACACACACGTCTGTGTGAAAATACTCACTTTGAGTCGGTCTTTGGGCAGGGCCACGGCGCCTTTTTTGATGACCTCCTGGACCCGCTCCACTGACAGATCTGAGCCGGCCTGCTCCAGACGAGCGCTAAAGAACCCAATTACCTGCAGGCACAGCACAACATCACATCATTTACTTACAGAGCAGTTTTGAAATGGATTTATAATCACTAATGACAGATTTCTGCTTTACTATAACCTTGGACAACCAAGAGAGGTTAAAAAGAGCTTTGGAGAATATGTGAATAGTTCAGGTCCAGAAAGGACAAATCCAGACCAAGATTTTGTTTCAACCAGCCAGTTGAGTATAAAGAGACACATTCACAGAGTACTCAACTGGTTGGCTGAAACAAAACCTGGGTCTGGATTTGTACTTTCTGGACCTGAACTTGCCACCTCTGGTTTGGTGTAGAACAGTTCCATACCATGGAAGGGCATTTTGCAGAGTAAAGTGATGCTGCATTCAATGCCATAAAAGTGTCATCATCCTTACAGCTTATATGCGATGGTTAGCTGAAGGCTCTCCAATGCAGGAATATGCAGCAAACAATGGAACTTTGGCAAATATGCAAGTAAGACAATGGTTTCTGCTTCTTGATCAACCTGCAGTTTAGAAAATGGCAGATTCCTCAGAGCGGCAAAGAATTTCAGAGGCATTTCAGTGCAGGAGGTACGTTCACCAGTCAAGAATTGTGTAGGCTAGCAAGAGCTAAAGGAGCGCAGAATCCACAAAGAACAGATACGTCAGCAGAGACTTTGGTTCAAATGATCCTTTTTCGTTTGCGGCATATTGGTAAAAGACAAACAAAGGATGCTCATGTCTGTTGCTGTTTAAAAACAAAAATCAGCACCATTTTACCAAAGAATAAGTATTTATGGGTGTAGAATCTGCATTATCTACAAATGTTTTGGAGAATTTAGTAACAAACATTGTATGAAACTTAGATAAGCAGCACAATCCACAAACTTGCATCTACAAATTCCCGACCCATTCCAATCAACACAAGCACCATAACATAAGCAGGAACCCCTTTTCAAGCCTCCATACAACAACTCTTTAAATTAAATCAAATATCTGAAACAGAACTCTCTTGCAATAAGGCATTGACTGCAACAGCAAAACCACAGCAATCCTCCAGAAAACTCCATCAAGACAGGCCAGGATTGGGAAGGCAGAGGTTTCTGACGGAGTGCCAGCGGTTTTTCAGCTGCAGTCAGACCCGGTCCGTTTCTGCCCTTGCGAGAGGCAGAGATCACAGTCATCCTCCAACAAAAAGTACCAAGGGGGAAGGAGGAACATCCTTAGAATAGCAGAAAATGAGGACAAGGCCTGATTCCAAAATGTAAGCACATCTGGGCACTTTCAAACATCTATGAGACTCAAACCTCTTTTCCAGATATTAAGTATAGTTAAAAGCTTATGTGAAGCCTGCGATAAAAAGAATAAATAGAGCAAGCTAGTGCCTTTATGTTGCCACTGAGATCAAACAGATTATGCAGAAAATCCATAGACAACCTCAAACCCCAAAAGGCACAAGTCAGTTATGCAGAATTAATACACAGGAACAAAAGATTATGTTCTCATATAAGCAAAGAGCAATGTCATTAAAAACATCACTAGGTATAAAATCCCCTTTGTCATTCATTAGGGAAGATGAAAATGGAAAGGGATCAGTAAGGAGTAACAGCCAGGTGTAAAATATGGTTTTGAAGTCTATAAAGAAAGAAGAGACTTTATGTAATGGACCAATGACAGCATATTAGCATGTCAGAAATAAACCAAAAAGACAAACTGACACACAAAGGAATAAAAATAAACTGGTGAGCTGAATCCCACAGGCCATAACGGTGTTGAAATTGTAGCGTGTAATCTATCGTAGACGGGGGGTGAAAAAAATGCATTGCAGAGATCAATTAAATATTTCAGATGGGAAAGTGAATTCTGGGGTCACATTTCCTGACGACATGCTGATCACCGATTTGCTGACAAAGACGAGGTGGGAAGTGCCCACCTACTATAATGACTGGAAATTAAACTGAATAAACTTCCAAGGAACAGAACAACGCAATAAGATTTTCTTAAGAAAAGGTCCTTCATTCCTTCTAAACATTAAGCTTTAGGCTTTGAAATGACATTTTGACTTCTGTTGTGAAACCTGCACATCACTGGTTCCAGGACTTTACAACACGACAAGTTCAAAGCTCCACTTAGCCAGCTTGTGTCACGAATGGCAATTCATGGCTGGGCACTGAGCCACAGTGAACACCAACAGAGATATCGCTCACAAATGAAGCAACTCGACTCACAGACCACATATCTGCTTGACCATATGTGTGGACTACAGGAGAAAATATGACAGCTTTTGTAGCAAAAAGGTAATTTATCTTAAAATCCTCTTAATACTATTAAAAAAACATCAACAGATTAACTTTATAAACTGCAAGTTTATTAAGCCATAATTAACAGAAGCCTTTTTATTTTGTATTCCCGGCTGACTTCAACATATCAATTACTCAACTGAAAATCCACCCACTGAGGGACTTGCGCATTTCACTTAAAAGTAGTGGTTCTTAACCACGACACAGAGCCCAAGCAGGCGGACAACGCAGTCAGAGTCGTTCTCTACAATTACAAGTTACATTTCCCAGGACTAATGGACGCAACTTTGTTTCAAGTATCACACTGAAACGATGTCGTTGAGTGGACTGAAACGGGCTCTCGATCAGAGACTGTACATGTGGTGAAAAGGGTACCAACTCCATTCTAAGCAAAAACATATGAGATCTTCTGACAAAATTATACACTTCTTTAAACATTCACCGTATAACTATGTGATGGTACGGATACTAAACCGAGCAAGAATGCTGAAAGTGCATAACAGATGGCAAAAAATTTAATGAAAAAGTAGCTACAAAACATGAAGGACAAAAAAGCCCCCCAGCCAGTAACTATAGATGTATTTATTATAATTTAATGTCTGACCCAACCACTTTTTGCAACACGTTCATCCTTACTCAATCAGCCACTATATCGTATTGCCTCATGTCCCGATTTTAGGGTGCTACTCTGGTACTGGACAATGTTTATTCTGGAGCAGAACTGCCACTAACATGAAGCATGGACTCCAAAGGCAGACATCATTCATACTGGTGTGGCTGGTTTAATGAGCCTCTGAAGTATACAGGAAAAGCATTCCAGACACGTAGCTCAAAATTCCTGCTGATCCGTCTTTCTTGCGACAGATTCCGGCATAATGTAGCATCACTTGCAATGCTAGTCTAAGGCTGCTTAAATATTAAGAACATAAGCAGATGATAAATTATTCAGAATGTCACTAAACCAAAGTGCTAACATGAGTTTTCATATTTGCTAAAGCTAAAAAGGTATTTATATCAGTGTACAACTGTAGCCTATACTAAAAAAGTATAGTGATGAATCGCTATACCACTGAAGCAGAGAGTGAATGAGTAAGCTGGACTGCATATTATGGACTGTGGCAAACAGAAATTGACCGAATTGGACTTTATTTGCTCTACGATGCTGATTTAATGTCTCGGGCTAAATGTGCTGTAGCGATAGCTACTTCATGCTGGCTCCACTACACATTATGCCAGTGGGTGCTAACACAGAAATATGAATGCCGGGGATTCTTACTGCATGACACACACTCAACCATCAGCAATTCTAACACTGGTTTCATGAAGGAAAAAAAAAAAAAAGACACTGCATTTCATCTCCCAGCAGGTTTACAGCAGATAAAATGCAGTGTTGTTAAAGCCAAAGCGCTTCCTTTAAACCTAATTAAAGCAAAAGTTATAAAAATAAATTACATTACTCCTAGAGGGAAAGTGCGGGGTAAATCATTTAGAGAATTATTATAGCACTTATATTTAATAACACAGTACAAATCATTTAAGGAACCTTTTTTTTCCTTTTTAGAGTGAATCACTGAATAGTATAATGAGGTTATATGATGTCTTGTTTTAAGCCAGAATAATTACGCAAGTTAATCAAATACAATACAATAATACAGTACTTTGTCATGCAGTATTTGTGCATTTACTTAACTACAACGTAACTGAATAGGTATATTGTCAGTTTAACGTCAAAATGAAACAAGCTAGCGCTAATAAGATGATCATAATGATAAGAATGTATGCAGGTAGAGTCTACATGCATGTCTATTTTTTTATATATGGCTTATAGTGGCAATTGGATTTGATGGCTATTGCTCCCCCCAACCTAAAACAATGCCACCCCACCAGGAGCTAGTGCTCTCTAGACAATCATCCCTCCCCCAATTGTTATTTTTTATGCCGAAGAGAAGCTCACCGTGTCGAGGTTCTGCATGATGTCCTGGAATGACGGATGGGACCGGAACTGCTCGAAGAGCTCCCTCTTGTACAGCAGAGCGTAGACCAGGTTGGGGTTGTGGTGCAATGAGTTTGACAGGCAGGAATTGATTATCTCAAGCATCATTCGGATCACCTCCTCAATTACATTCAAATCCTGGGCCTGAGGAGGACAGATGTGAAATAAAAGAAATATATTAAATTACATCTAAAATAGGTATTAAAAAAAAAACCCTTGCATTTCAATTTTGGAGTCTGGTGTTTGTCCATCATTAAGGTAAAACTGAGAAGCAGCTAAAGTCAGTCGTGGAAGAAAATCTCAAACAAAAATCTTGGGAAAGACGAATAAAATAAGGACGTTTTCCAGCGGCAGGTCTCCATCCATCCATACACAGGCCTAAGCGGAGGCTTTGAGGAGTTTGAATTAATAGCTGATGTAAAATCTTTCCAATAAATTCAATGTACAGATGGAGCGGATTAAATGACCTGGCTTACGAGAAGTTCTCAGCCGGAATGGTAGAATGGTATAAATTTATCAACGGCAACAACATTTTGTAGAAAAAAATACAAACTTTGTACTGTTGGGGCAAAAAGAATTCACACACAACCCCTGGGTTGCGGGTCACTCATATGCACACCGCCCACATCCATTTGGCTAAAAATCAAGAGGAGGGGGGGGCAAGAGGGGGGAGGGTTTCCCAGGCTGCAGCTGCCGCTTCCGTTTCCAATTCCGAGCGAGACGGAAAACAGGAATGTTTCGAGGCAGCGGTGCGTTGGTTCCAGCGAGGCGCGGAATGAAAGGGATTTAAAAATAACAGGCTCCTTTACGGTGGCGACCTTCAGCCGGAGTTGGACGGGAAGCGGGGACACGCCGGCTTCTGTAGTGGGGCAGACGCACGCCGCGTTAGTCACGTTGAGCGGTATCAGCTGTATTAGAGCCGCGTAGATCGTTTCAGCCCCCCCCCGATAGGCTTTTTGGAGTCTCCCAGGCTGGGTGACTCGACAACTCAGTGTATGTAAAGCATGTGACACCACAGCCTGCCTGTGAGCACTGTCCGGCCTGTCCTCTCCACTGTATTCATCATGCAGACACATCAACACCTGGTTACTCTCAAAAGGGTACAAATACAGTGATGGAAAATGATACAGTGTGTGTCAGATCATCTAGTGCACCTTCATGTTTACAACACAGTCTCTTATTTACAAATAAGTTGGACCATTGCTTAAATTTTATGCTGATATTTTCATGTGCAATAGGTGAAACGTGCAGTATCTTGAAACTATAGGGTATGACTGCTTTATCCTGCTGGTATGTTTGTTTATTTATTGTATTTATTTTGTTTTATTGTTACGAATCTGTCTAATGTTTTGAAGTTGTGACACTGGAGAGGATGCACCTTTAAATTTCGTTGCTGTGGAAACAATGACAAAGCAACTGAATCTGAATCGTGCGTGGAATGCCCCCTTGATCCATAGTGAGGAAAAAAACTCTCTTCATTCAACATGTTAAAAAGCGATGAGCCTGTAAATGCAACAAGGAGACTCCAAAATATCACGGCAGAACTAGGTTAGTCTTCCTTTCAGTTATATTCACATTAAACTCCCAAAAGCCTAAAGTTAATTATCAGAGTTTATTTGAGAACATTAACAGAATGTTCCGGTCCACCGACCGAGTTATTAATCAATAAATATCAAAATACTCTTGGGTCTCTGAGAAATGACAGATGTCACAGCACTGGGTGATGTTCTGCTGCAGTAAGTCCCCTGCTCTTTATTCTCCAGAGGCTTTGGATAACATCTTTGCCCCGGGGGGGCACTGACTAACCCATGAACGGCACACTGTCAGCGCGGCGCCTTAAACCCCAAAGCGGTGGAGAGCACTGACAGTAACCCAGAGGCTGCTTAAGTCCGGCGAGTTACAGCAAGGAGACGACAAGGGACATGCATGCACAAACAGGAAGGCGCTGAGGGGGGAGGTCATGGGATAAACGCTGCTCTGATATAGTGATATACAGGGTTTGGGTATCATAACCTGAGCTAAGGAAAGATGGAGTCAAGGATCACAATGACATTCCTAACCCTAACCTTATCAGAAAAGGAGCCAGCACGTTTCATGGGTCTATTTCAGGAGCCCAAACAACAATACTCTCACTGTTCTCTCAGTGATCTCTGACATCTTTAGGGACACTAACCTGCTAAACACACGCAGTCGTGCTCTACTGAATGGAGTTTACTACTTGGGAAGAAGGATATTGAGTTATTATACATGGTGAATATCCTCTAGAAATTCCCAAGACACAAATGAGTGGCTGCCATGGGTTGACGCCCCATCCTGGGTTACTCACTGCCTTGCACCTGTACTTCCTGGGACAGGCTCTGTAATTCCATGACCCTGCATAGGACGGGTGTGTATTGAAAAACAAAACTGATGGATGGATGGATGGATGGATTGGAGGGATGGATGGAATCTTCTAGTCAAGTTCAGTGCATCTCCCAAATCAGTCTGAATAGTCAATGTTGAGAGACGGAACTGAACTAGAAAAATAACCTTTTCCATGCACAAGTGTCACAAAAAACATAGTCCCTTGTTTTAATTGTAAGTCTGAGCCTAAGTGGCATAAAATTGAAGTGGGCTTCTCCTTTAACAAAATATTTTTTCTTATGAGGAACCTATCATCATAAAAACCATAGAAAGGGGTATCAGGGAAGCAGAGGACGTCGGCTGTGCTCCAGTGGTGATCATTAATTCTGTTAATTTACAGGATTTCAGATAGTAAGGGCTACTGATTCGGTAACTCATGCATACCAATTTGGAGCTTATTATGACCAAAAGCTCCAAACAGAAATCACAGATACCGATAACAGTGCATGCTTGCTATGAAGCCAGTAACTGAAAAAGAAGAAAAAACAGAGAGAAATATATTGTGTGCCAGTCCCATCACAAAAACATCTGATGGATTCTTTTAGGGTCATTTATACAATAAAGACATCAAGACAACTAGTGATGAAATGAGGTACTATGGAAACTTAAGAGTTACTACGGTAAAATCAAGAAACGCTTAAAAAGACACGTATGCACATATGAACACACAATGAAAGACTTGTAAGCCAACTTCAGCAGGTCATTTGAGTACAAACAAACCCCATCATAGCTGGGAATTGGCCGTTTGAAAAGGAACTACTTTAGACAACAATACGAGTCAACAAAAGGCTATCAATAACATCAAAATTCCGCTTGTAGGAAGCTGGCGCTAAACGAGTACAATGCAGATCAGGCACATACTAATCCTGAAATAAAATTTCAGCCGTTACAAGTTCACAGGACTCAAAGAGCATTTCATTGTGATCATTTAATCAATTGCTCAAAAAACCGGAAGCATACTTACTTACTGGCTAAGTAAACATATGTGTATAGTCGGATGATAATGACAGATTTACATTAGAATTATATCATTCCGGATTTAAACTAAACAACCTGCAAGTGAAAAGTGCAGCACATTTACAATTTACACGTGACTCCTTAAACCTCACCTTCTTTCTCAAATTGGCTTGCATGATCTAATCCTTATGGTACAAAAAGAATTATGATAGCAACTGATTTACAAGTAGACTAAGAAATGCAATGAATTATTCAGGGAACAAGCCAGAGCCGCCTGAGTTAAAGCAGCTTAACGCAGTAATGAAACCGACCCAGTGGTGACCTCACCGCTGTGCCGAATATGCAGACTCAAAATTCGGGAAATTCCAGCACTGCGTTTCCATGGGCACCTTCACAGCCCAGACTGGATGTTTAACTGGTCTCCCAACAGGAGTAGGAGCTGTTTGCGGGAGCCTGTCGCCATCATTCTCAGGAAAAATACATAATCTTTGCTTTGAACCCCAAAGCGGGATTAAACTCTGCATCGTGTATATCAGTGATATCTGATTTTCTAATTGGTGGAAGGGAAGTGATATTTCCATGCCAATCTTTATTTTGTGAGAGATAAGCATTGTCTTTTTTTCCTTATTAGATAAGGTCCTATGGGAAAGAAATTATGTTCTGGCCACCCATCCATCCATAAACCCACCCACCCATCCATCCACCCATCCATCCATCCATCCATAAACCCACCCACCCATCCATCCACCCATCCATCCATCCATCCATANATTAAACTCTGCATCGTGTATATCAGTGATATCTGATTTTCTAATTGGTGGAAGGGAAGTGATATTTCCATGCCAATCTTTATTTTGTGAGAGATAAGCATTGTCTTTTTTTCCTTATTAGATAAGGTCCTATGGGAAAGAAATTATGTTCTGGCCACCCATCCATCCATAAACCCACCCACCCATCCATCCACCCATCCATCCATCCATCCATCCATCCATCCATCCATAAACCCACCCACCCATCCATCCATCCATAAACCCATCCATCCATCCATCCACCACAGTGTTCCCTGGGGGGCTGGAACCTATCACAAGCAGCACAAGATGGGGGTGCACCTTGATTGGGATGCCAGCCAAACACAAAGCACAAATATGCACATCCCTTGCTCTCCCTAAAAAATCTGGAAGGTAACTGGACTGCTCTGGGGTGGGGGCTCAATGTGATATGCTTTAATGAGGCCCATTTTAATTGTATTTTCCATAAACACCAACAAGCAAAAAACAGCCCAGACATAAAATGACCAAATGCAAAGGTGACAGTAAGCGATGCGAACAGAACTAGCAGGCATGGGAATACGCACAAGCCGCCTCCAGCCCCCACTGGAACTGGCTGAACTCTATCATAGGTGCAGTTAGGGGGTAAGAAAAGAAACGAAAAGGAAAAAGAAAAGGAGGATCAGCACATGGAGACGGGCGCCAGGAACACGAGCCCGCAGGCCGCAAACGGGGCCCGACCCCACGGCGGCATGCAGGGGACGGCCGCCGGGCCCCTGCGCGTGAGGTGATAATGAGTCTGGCTGCTGGGCGGGCGGGGGGGCAGGCCCCCGCCAGGCTCACTCAGCTTTATCAGGTCCTAATAAGATTAGTCTGAAAAACTGCTGCGCGTCGGGGAATTCAGCTCAGATGCAAATGTGCAAGCTAAACATCTGCGTGTGTGGGAGACGGGCGGGGCTGATCAAGCGAGCGCTCCCGTGTCCCCCCCGTGCCAAATGCAGAATCCCCTCCTGCTCC